GATCTCAGAGACAGCATAGAGCCCTCGGGAGAGGGTTGGTAATCTCAGAGACAGCACAGAGTCCTCAGGAGAGTATTGGTGATCTTAGAGACAGCTCAGAGTCTTCAGCAGAGTGTTGGTGATCTCAGAGACAGCATAGCGCACAACCCTTAGGAGGTCGTTGGTGATCTCAGAGACAGCATAGAGCCCTCAGGAGAGTGTTGGTAATCTCAGAGACAGCACAGAGTACTCAGGAGAGTATTGGTGATTTTAGAAACAGCTCAGAGTCTTCAGGAGAGTGTTGGTAATCCCAGAGAAAGCACAGTGCAGAGTCCTCAAGAGAGTATTGGTGATCTCAGAGACCAGACAGCGCAGCCCTCCGGAGAGTGTTGGTAATCTCAGAGACGGCACAGAGCCCTCAGGAGAGTGTTGGTAATCTCAGAGACAGCAGAGCACAACCCTCAGGAGCGTGTTGATGATCTCAGACCGGACAGCACAGCCCTCAGGAGAGTGTTGGTAATATCAGAGACAGCACAGAGTCCTCGGGAGATTGTTGGTATCTGAAGAGACAGCACAGAGCCCTCAGGAGAGTGTTGGTGATCACAGAGAAAGGATAGTGTACAGCCCTCAAGAGCGTTGGTGATCTCTGAGAAAGCACAGTGCAGAGCTTTCAGGATAGTGTTGGTGATCTCAGAGACCGGACAGCGCTGCCCTCAGGAGAGTCTTGGTAATCTCAGAGACAGCACAGAGCCCTCAGGAGAGTGTTGGTGATCTGTGAGAAAGGAGAGCGCAGGGCCCTTAGGAAACTGCTGGGAATCTGAGAGACAGCATATTGCACAACCGTCAGAAGACTGTTGGTAATCTCAGAGACAGCTCAGTGTCCTCAGGAGAGTGTTGGTAACCCCAGAGACAGCACAGAGTCTTCAGGAGAGTGTTGGTGATCTCAGAGACAGCACATCGCACAGCCCTCAGGAAGTCGTTGGTGATCTCAGAGACAGCATAGAGCCCTCGGGAGAGGGTTGGTAATCTCAGAGACAGCACAGAG